CATCTTCATCTTCATCATCAAGGATATCTTGTTTGGATTCACTCAGTTTTAGTTCAACTGAGCCTGACTTTAATCAGTCAACTTGAGTCAATTCTTTTAAACTCATCTCAACGGAGATAACGTGAATAAAATCAAGTTAAAACATTTGAAAAAGCCAAAGCTCATCACATTTTTACATGAGATTTAATATTCTTAAATGTGCATCATACGTTTCGAGTCCAGCCACTCGTCTGGTTATTAGGTTATTTTCCCTAATAAGTTCACTTTTACCGTATTTAACTATATTTGATGGGCTGTAAGAAGAAGAACTGTTTTTTTAAAGTAGCTTTTGTTCAGAAATGAAGACTGAGGGACTCTAAACCGCGTAGCGTTGTGTCTTACGTGTCTTTCCATTTTTCAGACATCCTCTTTCCGTCCCCAATGGCGTACACCGGCACCAGAGAGACAGAGTACAGCGTGTCGGGCTGCAGGCCTCTCAGGATGGTGCTGCTGGTTCCTGCCGACACCGTCTCCTGGCACCAACAACAAGGAGACAGTTCAGGCTCCCTGTGAGCGATGCCTACCAGACCTACCAGTCCCATCAGTACCACCAGTCCTACCAGTCCTACAAGACCCACCAGTCCAACCACTCCTACCAGTCCTACTGGTGCTACCAGTCCTACAAGTCCTAGCAGACCTACCAGTCCAACCAGTCCTAGCAGATCTACCAGTCCTACCATTCCTACCATGCTCTCGGCTCCCCCGGCGGCAGGTACATAGACGACTCTGTACTCCTTCACTCGTCCCTCGGCGGGCTCCCAGCGCACGTTCAGCGTGGTCATGGTGGGGTTCAACACCTGCAGGTTCCTCACTCCACCCATTGGCTCTAAGGGGGGGGTGGCACAGGTGAGTCATCAGCATAGAGTAGGTTAATTTTGGTGCATTTACTGAACTTGTTTCACATCAAAAAGCTCATATATACTCATATATAACTCAATTAACTTAAAATAAATAATAAAATATGTCAAGCAAGACTTTTACTCGTGTGGTGTAATAAATAGAGAAAGGGCTCTTACTGGTCTGCCCCTCCCCGCTGATTTCCCGCTGGACCCCCGTCGGGTAGACGGCCGCCACGCTGACGAAGTACTTGGTGTCGGGCTCCAGCTTCTGCAGGATGACGCTGGTCTTCTTCCCTCCGACCTGCGTCTGTTGTTACAGGAAACGAGTGACATGCCGACATCATCAAAAATAAGGTGGATATGTCAATATATCAAATTGACATTTAGGAAGATTGGTTCACATAAAACTATTCCAACCTCTGTTGTTTCACGTTAAGCTACTTCGTGCTACGACTGCACGACAGTTCAGCTACTAGCTACCTAGCATAGATGAAATACTCCACCGAGGTAATAAATCTCTACCGATACTAGTGATGAACACATTAATACATCAATGTTAAAATGATACAGAATAATACATGGAATTGCCTATGAGTACTTAAAGACTTAAAACCGTTAGTCTCACAATAAAACAAACAGAAGAAGAAGATCAGAGTTAAATCTCTGTTTTTCTAAAAGGAGTCTGGGGTCTTTATAGAGACAACTCCTGTCATAAAGTCCTGTCCGACATCAAGGTAAAGAGGTGAAGATATTCTAAATATTCTAGGGTTCTAAAATAGACCCGAGTAGAACACGGATCTACTGGAATCACAGACCGATCTTCTGCATCTGAGGACAAGATGTCAGCTAACTATTTATTCTATTGAAACACAAGTATGTCAAATATTTCTCTCAAAGGCCTTTGAGGAAAGAATGTGAGTGTGTAAACACACTGATGGAGGCTGTAAACAGTCTGCGAGGAGACACGTCACAGCTACACCAGTACGTCGGGTATTCGGGTGGATGTTTAATCTCCGAGTTGGTTTAACTTGTGACTTGTGTAAACTTTGTTTACAGGACAATATCTTTTAATCCCGACGTGACATCACACTCAATCCTTCACATCCCAAAAGTCACATCGCTTTACACGTGTAGCTGCTTTTATGAAGAACAATTTATTCTATCCACGTCAAACATACAGTATATACATATATATGTATACATATATATATGTGTATGAATATTATTAGCCCCTCACTTCCTGTCTGACTCTCAGCTCCCATTGGTTCCCATTGAAGACTCAAACCTCGTCACAGGGGACAATTTTCCGCGGCGGATTAGTCCGCCTTTGTGACTGTGGTGAGGAAGTGAGTCATGAATACGGAGACAATGTTTGTCTTCATATTCTCATCTCTGTGGGTGTCCGGGGGGATTTAGTCCTGGGGGGTTACAGGAAGACCCCCTCCTCTCTGCCTTCATCTTTAAACGGTAGTTTCTGCTGGTATTTATTCAGCTGTGGGAGTGAGGGAGGAAACCCTGAGCTCATCCCGCCTGGTTCCACAAGTCAGAGAGGCGGGGGGGGGGGCACTGCATCCATCAGACACGCTTCCCCCTCCCACACTTTGTTTGGGCCAAACGCTGTCATAACATCTCAAGAGACACAATAAAAAGATTTGTGACTCCATCCAAGTACTTTTCACGCAGCCGCTCGGTTTCTGAGCCAATCAGCGCGCAGGGTGTGGGGGGTACAAATATTTTGTATAATTTAAAAAAATATAATATGAACTCACCGAGAGAGGCTCGCCTCCAGCGACCGGCTTGTAGCTGATCTTGTAGTTCTGGACGGCGCCGGGGGCGGAGTCCCACTTCACCGCCAGCGTGGTCGTGGTCGCGTTGAAAATCCTCAAGTTCCGGGGAGGCTGAACCAGCACTGAGGACACAGGGAGGAACCCGGTGAGACAGACTGAGGGGGCAGAGCAGCTGTGGGGGGGGGTTAGGGATGGGGGCGGTGGTGAGGAAGATGATGATGATGTTGATGATGATGATGATGATGATGATGATGATGATGACGATCGCGATGATGATGGTGGTGAGGTTGAAGATGGCGGGACAGAGACACTGTCCAGACAATATGGCTGAAAGGGTTCAGTTTTTAGGGTGGAAGCAGGAAACAGGAGAACGAGGGTGAAGCTGGAGGTCAGAGACTTCAGAGACGATATCAATGTCAATTGTTCCTCCTCGTTAGTTGCGTCTGTAAATTTTGCACCGAGTCAACGTGAATAGTTGAAATAACACCAAACATAATCTGCAGCGTGACGTTCTCTGATCCTCAAACCTCACAGCAAGACGACATGCAGCCTCATTAACCCGAGGACCGAGCTCAGCGCCACTCTGTTGAGGGATGACGTTACCGTGACAACGGACATGTTAAGATGGGGGTAACGAACAGAAGGACTGATGGTGGAATTAGGACACTGGGTCACATGGGTGGAGGTCTGCGTTTACGCCACGATCTTTGCGTGTGTCTGTGGTAGCAGAACGGCCACGTGGAGGGAGGGGCTCGAGGTGTGAACGCAGATTGTGACATGCAGTTAAGAAGGAGGAAGAGGAGGAGAAGGAGGAAGAGGAGGAGTCCCTCATGGTCGCAACACACATCCATCAGCACAGTGACTCTCTTATCACATACCATCCGGGGCCTTTAACACTAGAGAGAGACGTCGAGAAAACAAACATTGTTATTCCAAAGGGAGTCAAACCCGGGAGTGTAAAATGGTGTGTGTGTGTGTGTGTGTGGGGGGGTGGGGGGTGGGGGGGGCGGTTAGTGTGCTTACGTGTGCGCTCCCTCCCAATCAGGTCCTCGCTCTCTGACTCGTCGGGGTAGATGGCCGTGACGGTGACGGAGTACTCGGTGTCGGGGTCCAGGTTGGGCAGAACGGTGGTGGTCTCATCGCTGTTCAAGATGGCCTTGGATGAGGAGGAGGAGGAGGAGGAGGAAGAGGAAGAGGAGGGCAATTAGCAATGAATGGTGCTACAGATGACCAGGTAGACCCCTTTAACTGTTGACCTCGGCCCTCTCCTTATGTACAGGCCCCGCCCACAAGGTCTATCTCCGATCCCGATCCCCTGATGGAAGGACGACACCCACGCCCCCTCCCCGAGACCTCAGCGGCTCGACTTCCTCTCTGCTGACTGAAGGACGACCCCCTGCTTCCTCTCAAAAAGGACCTCGTCCTGATTTAAAGTGGACCTCTGACACAGTGGAATACTGAGTAGATCTGGAGGCGGGCAGCGATGAGCGACCCGGCGTTGGATTCACACATGTTTGCGCTGGAGCGAGAGCTGGCCGGGAGGGGCAGAACGTGTCCAACACATAACAAGGAGAAAAGAAAGAGCTTTGTTGTTGCTTCAGCTGAAGTCCTGGCGACAGCGTTTGAGGGAACTGTTCTTCTTCTGCTGCTTCACGATCACAACTGTTTCTCCGCTTCAGCTCGTATTTAAAGACAAAGAACCAGAGCGATGGATTTAAAAAATCAAAAAAGGCAGAAGTAATAGGGACAAAACAGTGTTAATCAAGTGCTGATGATTGAAAGGAACTGTGGTGATGTATTACGGGAAACCCCCCACTCTGACTGGACTCACAAACTGAGGCTCCTGCTCCCCCTTCTTGGTCCAGCCGATGCGATAGAGGGACACGTCAGGGGCCCCGTGTTGCCAGGAGACCCTGAAGGAGGTCTGGGTCACCTCAGAGAACTGCAGGTCTTTGGGAGCAGGAACGACATCTGTTCACACGGACGGCAAGAAGGTGAGAAGAGCGAGGACCTGTGTGTGTGTGTGTGTGTGTGTCATCTTGTACTGCTATCTTTGGGGGGACCAGGCACTGGAGCGTGATTGTGAGGACACGTTATTTTCTCTTCATTTCTCAGATTAACGTGAAGGTTAGCGTATTCTGTTTCTTAATTACCTAGATGAACTAAAATCTCCAGGATGGAGATCGTAACCCTAGATGTAATAAATACATCTGATGTCTGAATGTGTGTGAGAGAAAGCTGTAGAAGAATAGCTGAGGAAACGAGAGAGAGACGCGACGCAGACCTGTGATGGCGGTTCCCATCATGGGGGCAGCGGGCCCCTCGTCGTAGAAGGGCGTGACGGCCACGTCGTACTCGGTTTGGGAGATGAGGCTGGACAGGTCCAGCGTGGTGACGTCGCCGTCGACTTCCATCTGCAGGTCACAAACGTTATTTTCAAATATTGAGTTATAATATGTTGTTTTTATGGACAACAATGTTCTTGGTGGGGGCATTCATGATGCGGCAAAAAATGAACCTTTGAAATTGACACTTAAAAAGTCTTTGCTGCTGATGTGAAAAGTATGTTAACCATTTGTTAGAAATAAGCACTTATCTCCAACATGTTCCCTGAGACAAGCAGCCAGAGAAGAAGAAGACTTTTGTCTCTGTGAGGACGGAGATTATGATGGTGAATGTTTTCTGTATGAAGACACTGCGTCTTGAAGTAAAAAAAAAAATGTCTTCAGGCATTAATCCACAGCGTGACGTCTCCTCCAGGGACAAGACGTCTTCAGCGGTAATCCGTAAGAGCAGTCGTGGATTCATCCATCACAGCATCCTGGAAACGTCTTCCTGGGAAGGGGGGGGGGTGGGCTCCTCCGGCTGCCAATTCATCCCAGACTGTTTGTCCTTCGCTGACATCCGAGTGAGGGGGGGAGTGGGGTTCTCTCTGCCAGCAGACGGCTTTTATCACAGAGGTCTGGCTGCTGCTGTGACTTCCTGGTCTCCCTCCCAGAGCCAAGGTCAGCTCAGCTACAGCGCCCAACCCCAAAAAAACCAAACGTCCAAACGGTTGGCTTGTTGGAGCCATATTTTCTGTTTTGTTACAAATCATTTATTTGTTTTGTTGGTGGGAATTATGCGTATTCTCTTAATGTATTTTTTGTTCATATTTGAAATAACTTTCTTTATGATGCATTAGATGCACCTGATGAGGATCAGCGCATAAGAGGAGGGGGTGGGACTGAGGCACCGGGGCTGGCTTTTGTATTGGACGGGACATCGGCACAGTCTTTCGACCTTACGTTGTCCACTCTGTTAATTATGTTCAAATGAAACGACCAAATGTAAAACTTAAAAAATAAACAACGTGAAATGGAACACAAGCATTGAGTGTCTTCTATGGAAGCGTGAATGTGTGAATCAGGAAGCGGAGTCCCGACCACCGAAACAAGGAAGTGCAAAAGCAAACATATTCATTTGACCATGAATATGTTTCATTATGGATGGGCGTTACCTCCTTCAGGTCGCCTTCCTCCGGCTTGTAGGTGATGATGTACTTGCGGACGGCGCCGGGGGCGGCGTCCCAGTACAGCCTCATAGTGCTGTGGGTGACGTCGGTGATCCTCAGGACTCCGGCAGGAAGAACCGGCACTGAAGCAAGACAGGGGGACAATATGTTTCCGGCTTTATGGGAGTATAAATCTGCATTTTCCAGAAAGAACATTTGTCGTGTTTATTTGAAACCAGGCTTTGGCCTGAAGTTACTTTGCTGCTAAACCCCGCCTGTCCTGCTTCTAACGGTTATTCTTGTCTTCAGAGGAGTTAAAGCACGACTTACAGGTGACTCCTCGCCTCTCCAGAGGGTCGCTGGCAGCTTCTCCGTGCAGCGCGTAGAGAGAGATGGAGTACTGTGTGTCGGGGATCAGCTGCACCAGCTGGACCTCGGTCACATCTCCAACACGAATCTGAAAAAGGGCAGACATTTTATTTTATCTGGTGAACTAAAGCATCTCCTGCTTTATGATCCATTTGACTCTAATTGGACCATCATTTATTAAATGAATATCACGCTGTGTTGAAGAAGAAGAGTCCTTTTCTCATAGACTTCTATAGGACCAGAGGAGTCGCCCCCTGGTGGTCAGAAGAGAGAATAGAGAATTTTCTAACCCTGCCGGTTGGCTCCACTTTACCTCGTTCTCCAGCTGAGGCCCGGTGGCGTTGGTGGACTTATACAGCAGCATGTAGCCGGTGGCTCCGTCCGCCCGGGCCCAGCTGACCTTCATGGAGCTGGAGGTCTCGTCGAACACCTTCATGTCGCTCACGGCCGACAGCGGCACTGAGAGCACAGAGAAACACGGCCTGAGACGCGGCGCTTCGGAGTCACATGACGCACTACAGGACGGCCGACAATGGAGTTTGCTTTCTCTTTTTGCAAAGGAAAATGTATAATGAAACGAACTGTGATCCTTCAGTTTATAGCAAGTGAAGACTGTTCAAGACTTTTTAAAATAACACTCGAATCTAATACATTCATTTATAATTTACCAAAATTTAAAGGAAAAATAACACTATGAAGTGACAATAACTACTTTGGTTGGGCATCATTTTCATCCCATATGTGACTTCAATACCTTTACATAAACATTGCATATTTATTCCCTTGTACCAGTTTATGACAGCGAGGATCAATGGACACTCAACAACATTGAGCGGTAAATGTGACATTTGTGATGATTGTTAATTGTGTTGTAGCTCCATGAACAAATGTCCTGAGGCATCATCATGACGATAGCTACTTTCACAAGGAGGAACTTATGATCTGCAGGAACTCTCCCCCCCCCCCCGTAAACATAACGTTTTTATCCCTCTGCAGCCTTCACGCCTGAGTTACACTGATGGACTCCAGATGGAGGACATCCTGACCTGAACTCAGTGTTAAGTGTGTGTTTAGTTTAGTTCAGTTTAAAACAAACCACAGAGATCTACTGAGCAGCCATCTAATAATCATCACTTTGGGTTTTATGAGAGTGGGGAAGGGCTCATTGGAGGACACATTTAAAAAGGAAAGGAAGCGACAAGCAAAAGCACTGAAAGTGACGCTAAATTGTATCAGATTATTTGAAGGACGGTTGATGTGTCCTTGCTTCAAAGTGACTCCCAGCTCACTTAGATTCATGTTTGTTTGTTTTGTTTTTTAATTTTCTTTTAAAAATATAATAAAAAAATAAAAAATCGGGTTATCTTTTTTTTGGTGAACATTTGTATTTTCACATTTTCTTTTTTTTCTTCCACTTACAGGTGGTCTCGATGCCTGTGAGGGGCTCGCTGCTCTCCTGGCCCACCACGGCGTAGACGTTGACCTGGTACGCAGTCAAAGGGCTCAGGCCCTCCAGCAGCGCACTGTTCAGGGAGCCTTGGACCATCAGCTGAAACACACAAGAACCCGCTTTCACACCGAGGACATCCGTTCCTCTCGGCGACTCCTTTCACAAACAATGACAAATATGTCAAATCCTCCGCTGGCGCTGGTATTATTCTATAGAGAAGCTGCCAATGTTTTGTTCATCTCAAAAACCCTTTCAGAATAAATCTACGGAGAGTTTCGGTCTGGCGGATTATGAAGGAAAAGGATCAAAGTGCAGCGTTAAACGTTGAAATCAGCAAACATCATCTGTGGTCTTCACAGGATTGATCACTCTCTGGTTCAGGAATCTCGTAAAGAAGTGACGTAGGGCCAAGATGGCCGCCGTCCGCTCTGTGAGGAAGAGCTTCAGCGAGGAAGAATTCGAACACAGCTAAAGCTCCAGGAACTTGGAGGTGACTCAGGTCTTCACAGCCAAAGACTTCCTCCCCCCTCCGAGGTGCGAGGAACATGGAGAGCCCCCCGCCTCACCCCTCCTCCTCCAGACGGACTCCTTGAACCCGGAGACGTGGAGTCTGATTGGCTCCATGAATCCCTCCCCAGTGAATAAATACCACACATATAGTAATGTTACCCTCTCGTCAGCGAGACACTGGTCTGCTAACTGCATCCTTTACGGAGTCTCACATTTCTGTTTTCATAGCACAATGCCGCCATTATTAAAACGAAGAATGTTAACGAGAGAATGGATCAGATTGAAGAGCTTTTGTCGGAAGAAATGCGTAAATATGACCGCTTATACAACCCGTCATTGGCGGACTATAAGGACGTGCGGATGCCGGTCGAGAGGTGAACAAAGTTGTGGAGAAAAATACGGGACAAATGTGTCCGCGATGACAAGCAGCAGTGTCGATGCACGGGGCAATAAAGTCTATGATAAATAAATGAACAAACCAACAACTTCCACAAACAAAGACGTGACTCTCTAGGTCGTCGTCAACAAAAACACGAAAGCTCCACCTGTTGTTCTGGAGGTGAATTCCTCTGCAACACACCCAAGACTTTTAGAACCATGAATTGAAAGTGCGTCGACACAACGGTGCGTAAAGATGACGCAGAAACATGCGCCAGCCTTAAGCGTGTAAACATCACACGTCTTGTTGTTTTTGGAGGGAGGGGCGGGCGCTCTGCTACCAGTAATGGAACCGCTTTATCTGAACCAGGAACATCCTTCATTCTGCTTCTAGTCAACAAACCCCCCAACATGTTGGTCCGTCTCTCAATTCTGCCTGACTTCCTGTCTGTGGCCCATTGGTTCCTACTGAAGATAGACATACATATATATAGGTGTGTGTGCATATAAGTATGTGTGTACACCTGGTGGTGCCGCAGCAGCAGTGAAGCTCCTAGATGTGTTCCATGGAGCTCTATGGCTCAGAGGAAGAGGAGATCTCTTCTCATTTGGCTGAATAAAATCCTCATCTCTCTTGATTTGGGTTCATTTTACTTCCTCATCTCACCTGCTCGGTGGGTCCTCCGGCCACCGTGGCGTAGGTGAGGCGGTACATGTCCACGGGCCCGCCGGGCGCCGTCCAGGTGGCCCGGAAGGAGCGGTGGGTCACCTCCGAGGTCACCAGGTCGGTGGGGGCCTCCGGCTCCCCTCCTGGAAAGGAATGAAGCCGACGAATATGAGCCGACGCGCCAAAGTATTTCACACCGTGACCCCGACATACACAAATCTGCAGCATGTCTCGTGACTGAGGAAAGATTTCTCTGTGGTTTCTCTTCAAACGTTCTGTATTGCCCAATGTCCCACAGACTCTTAAAAAGAAAACCGACTTGCATGTGTGCTGCCAACATCCTTCTTACTCTGTGATCCAGGTTGTCGGGCAGCACCTCGGCCGATTGATCTGTGGATCAGGACGCTTTGTTCTTCGATTGGTGCTTTTTTGCAGCTGTTAGTTTCATCACACAAAGCGATTCCTCTGATGTTATTCAGAGAGTTTCACCGTAGACGTCATTCAGGGCTGTTTTTTACATTTAACTGGCTTGTGCGTTTTTAATTCACAGCAAGCAGGTCTGGTCCGTGCAGGACGTTTGTGCGCCTGAGTCAAAGGGAACAGACGATAAAACGCCAGCTTACACACATCTGGAACACGGCTCAACCACATGCTCGTCTTAAAGGGACAGCTCTGTGAGAATATTCAGACCGGGGCCGTCCTCTGTAGAGAGACCAGCACCGTGACTATCTGACATCCCAGCCGCTCTTGTTGTGAACTGTGTCTCCAGAGAGAGAAGACCAGCTGCAGCTCTTCTACCTTCACTCGTCACAGGAAATCAGCGTGTGTAAATGTCTCCTTGTGGAAGAGCGAGGGTTCCGCTGACTGTTCCTACCCGGGCCTTTGACGCTGTTGCACAGGTTGACGGTGAGTTCGTCCACGATGTCCACCAGGAACTTGAAGTCCTTGACGTTGTACATGTGGATCTCATCGGGGTCGGTGGCGATGGACCTCAGCTCGTTCTCGTCGGCGTTCTTCACACCTGAGAAATCAAAGGTCACAGATCCAGGTCTTCATTTGCTGAAGAAGAAAATACAGCGTGCGTCTGACATCTCCCTGCAGCTCAGGCTAGTTTGTGACGGGGGGGGCAAAGCCACGCACCGATGGCGTAGAGCTCGATGCCGCTGTCTCTCAGCTTCTGCGAGGTGGAGACGATCTCGTCCTGCGACTTCCCGTCCGTGATCAGGATGCCGATCTTCCGGGCGTCGTCCCGCATCCCCACGTTGGTTTGAAAGTTGTTCTGGAGGATGAAGTTCATGGCCATGCCTGAGAGCAGAAAAGGGTTTCACTGAAGCGCTCACCCATAGAAAACCCCCATAGAGAGCACTGATAGAGACCCCCCCTAGAGGACCAGGCCCGACCCACCTGTCATGGTGTTGCCTCCTTTGTAGGGCAGGTTGGCGATGGCCTCCAGCAGGGAGGTCTTGGTCAGGTGGGCGTTCAGGTGCCACTCGGTC